GCCTAAACATCAGCCAAGAACTCTCTGCAGGAGGCTGGAAGGATGTGGGAGGCTCATCAGGCCGGCACTCACCATCTCCCCAGCCCTCATTCCTCACCATGGCAACTCAAGGGCTTTTGAAGCTGTGGTCCAGATGGAACCCCCACCTTGAAGCCTGAACACAGCCCTGCTTGCTGGGGAAAACTGGGAATGCCCTCCCCACTCCCCAGCTCTGGACTCAAGCCACTGGGACAAATGCCAGAGGCCGGCCTGATATCTTGGAATGGAGGGCTGCCACCTAGACTGTCATTGTCATCAGTGACTCATTTGTTGGTTTTTGGTTTTGATTTTGTTTTTTACTTTAGGAGAATAATTTTCTATTCATTGAAAGGACTGATATCTCTGAAATTTTGGTTACTAGAAAGGGACACCCAACTCAAACTAGTTTAAGAAAAAAAAAGAGTAGGTAAGTAGATAGCTATGATTGACTCAAGAGACCCATAAAATATTGTGAGAGTTCTTTCTTTCCTTCTCTTGGCTCCGATGGTTTCTTCTTGGTTTCACTCTTCATACAAGATTTCTCCATGTAATAGACAAAAAGAATCTCATTTCCCAAGCTTAGCTGTGCTGATGTCTAGAAAAGTGTAGTGTTCATTGTAAAGAAAAGTCTCAGGGAAGATTCTCATTGGCCCAGATCAAATCAAATGACCATTCCTGAACCAATCACTGTGTCTAGGGGTGCAGTAATGAGATTGGCCTGGCCAGGGTCTTGTGCTCACCCAGTGGTAGTGCTCAGTTTGTTGGGGGAACAGGGGGACAATGCATGGCAGCCCTGCTGGGAGCCTGTGAGTGGGAAAGAAGATCCCTAAGGCAGGCAAAAACTACCCTGTCACCTGCTCCATCCACCTCAGTCAAGCTTGTGTTTGGCCAAGGGGGCAGGGGAGGGGAGGCTCGATGTCATGCATTTATTGATTAGCCATTGTCTTTGAGTGCTTACTGCTCTGGGCTTTGAGACTCAGCATCAGACAAAACAATGGCTATCCTGGCGAAGCTTATTTCATCATAGGGAGAAGTGGCCAAAAAGATAAAATAAATAAGTAAAGTACATGTAGACTATCAGATGGCAATAAGTGCCACAGGGAGAAGTACAGCAGTCCAGGAGGATTGAGCAGGGCCCTGCAGGAGGCGAAGGAGGGAGCCATGCAGGTATCTGGGGGAAGAGCCTCTGGAAAGAAGGGCTAGGAGGAAGGGTGGCTGGAGGGCTGAAGGAACAGTGTGGCTGTGGCTGAGCGAGTAAGGGGCAGCAACACAAGCTGAGTTCACCAGGGTGACAGAGCACCTGCTCAGAGAGCATCTCGGGCCACCGTGAGCTCCAGGGGCTGTACTCTGTGGGACAGGGGGCACCAGCGGTCAGGTCACGTGATGTGTCAGAGGGTCCCAATTGTTTGCTGTTGTTTTCTCTCCAGTTGATTATAGGTCATTTGAGCTCGGGGACAATATTTAGGTATTCATCCATTCATTCATCTATTCCTTTATTCAGCAAACACCTGTTCTGTACTGTGTACCAGCTGCAGGGAGCTCCAAGATAAGGAGCTCACCAACTAGTGGAAAGAAAGAGAAGGAAAGCACAAATGTCAGTGCCATGTGACCTGTGCCCCAGCCTGACATAAGATTCAAAGCCCAAAGCACCCTTACTTGCCTCCAGCAATGCCAGTCCCATCCAGTGGCTCCAAGCCCGGGATCATCTCTATCTCTCCCGCTGGTTCAGCTATAGTGCTTCGTGGTCCTGCAGCCAAGTGCCAAATGATGCGTTAAATCCCTTGCCGACATGCTTAGTAAGCAGTGTGGATGGGAAAACAGGTTAGCAGCAGTACAATTCCCCTATAGAAGAGGGGAGGAGGGAAACAGCATTTACTACTCACAGGCCCGTGGCACATGTGCCATCTGCAGGCTCCTGCTCCAGCAGGGATCAAGGTTCCGTGGTCAGTTCTCCAGCTGCCCACACGCAAAGGTTGGGGTTGGAGGTTTCTTCTTCATGATCCTCCATGGTGGTGCCTGGCATGGGATGGGGCAGGAAAGGGGCCAGATTCCTAAATTCTTCTTCTAGAGGCCACACTGCCTTTTGTTTATTTCCATATTCCCAGTCTCTTGCACAGTATCTGTGCATAGTAGGTTTTCAACAAATATTTCTGGAGCTAATACCAGTGGTGTGCCCCTAGAATGCCACCTGTGCATGCACAGGGAGAGGTCTCAATCAGGCTGTGGAGCATGGGAGGGCATCAAGGATGACCCTGAATTTGTGGCTTGGAGGACAGTGTTGGAACTGCCCATCTCTGCAACAAGGAACACAGAAGGAGCAGCAGCTTTGGGATAAGTGGGGGATTTGTTTTGAGATGCCGAGTTAGAGTTAGGATATTCGAAGACCTGGAAGTCTCCAGACCAAAAGATGGTTCTACATGTAAAAGGAGGGGTTCGAGAGCTGGGAGGAAGTGAGTTAGGGTCTGGGCATGAACTGGAGTTGGATATCAGAGGTAGAACAGCTTTGGGTGGCAACTGGAGCAAGACCAAGGCAGGGCTGAGGAGAGAGGAAGTGACAGCCCTGCAGAGGTCAAGGAATTGCCGTGAGCCACCACCTACCCTGCCTCAGTGTCCCCTCCACTTGGCTGGCTCTGGGCCAGCTAATGTTTCAGCCCCAACCCTGAGGGACTGCTGGGCTGCCCTGAAAGGAGGGCTAAGACCTTTGGGAGGGAGTGAGCCTGCTGTTTCCCTGGCAACCTTCTTCATAAGTGGCCTCCCAGGTGAAGAGTGGAACCTCAGACCCATACCATCTGGAGAAGGTTGGACCGCTCAGAGGCATGGGTTTGTGGGAAGGAACAGCAGACTTCTTCTGATGGCATCTTTGAGGATGTCTGACTCAGTTTTGAGGACTTCAGAGGAAACTTCTCTAGAGAGACCTGGCCTGAGCATTCTTCTGGCACATTCTCTGTGGCCCTGAGGCAGCTTTGAGTGAGGTGGGGCAGACAGCAAGCTGGGGGTGGGGAATAGTCTCAGAAACAGGACTTCTACTTCCTGGCACATGGGAGGTGCTCAGTAGAGCCTTGCTGAGCGAATGAATGAATGAATGAATTCAAGCATTTGTACACAAATGAATGAGTGCTCAGGTGATCCTTGGAACTCGCAGAAGGGCGCCCCGGCACTGGAAGATGGGTGGCTCTCGATCAATGTTTACTGGGCAGTGAGCAAATGTGGGGTGAGGACTCTGGTTTCCCGAGTCCACAGAATGGCCATAAGCCCTAAATAAATAAACATGGTTATTTTCCACAGTCCACTTGTAGGATAATGAAGTATGCACTCTCCCTTTGGGAGCTTCAACAAATCATCCCTCTGCAGCTTTTCTTTAATTTTAGCTCCTTAGCCGACAACTGGAGGCTGCTTTCCATTGCCCTGACCCAGAGCTGGGGGAAAGATGGGGATGGGGGTGGCGTCAGGACCCACTATTTTCCCAGGCGGGAAGGACACAAAGGATCACTCTCCCTTTTATTCTCACTCTCGGAGTTGGACAGCTTGGATCCTTCTAGCAATCCAGGACTCAAGCCAGAACATTCCTTCTGTCCCTCTCTCCCTCCCTCCTTCGGTCTTTCCTGAAATGGATTTTGAGCCCATGGGGGGCTCTGCCACATCTGTTCAGTTCCTTGCATGGCACCACCTCAGAATATTCCAGTGCAGCAGCCACAGCCTGCCACCATCCTGAGTGTCCGTGTCTAGCGTGGGATAGGCCCAGTGGACACAGGAAGATCTCCCTCACTGCTCTGCCCTCGGAGCTTCCAACTGGCTCCTAGGACAGGAGGCAGCCTGAGAAGGTGACAGGACTACAGAGTGGCAGCAGTTCAGGACATAAGAGCTCCCTGGACCCCCAGCATTCCTGTCCAGTGAGGTTGGGGCGAAGCTCTTGGGGCAACACAGAGGCCCTGAGCTGCCGGTGGATGTTCCCAGTGTCAGCCCACACAGCGGTCTGCTCTCTCGCAGGCCCAGCGGCCCTGCTGGGACCGTCCTCTAGGATTAGGCCCGTGACGGAGTCCTCATGCAAGGGTGCTGTGAGTGGGCAGTTCCCACCAGCCTTCTTGCTGCCTCTCGAGGGCCACAGCTCAGCCTGGAGCTGCTGGCTGGTGGGAGGTTGGAGTTGGGATGCACTCAGAGTTGGTGATATTTCATGGCACTCTGGGGGGCATCCGGCCAGCAGTTTGGTTCAAATAATGAGATGTCAGGATGCATCCATCCATCCATTCATCTCAGATGTGTCCTTCCCCAGTGTCTCTCGCTGGGGACTCTGGGCTCACAGGGGAGGGTGTGGCCAAGGAGGAGGGAGGCTGGGCCACAGATTCTGTCAGCCATCTCTCCCTAGCACTTAGTGCCTGTGGCCCAGTGGATCTGACGTGGGGCCATTTCACCAGCATGCAGAAGTCCCAGGGAAGGTGTGTCGCCGCCTGTGCCTTTGAGTTCTGGCAGCTCTGGCAGCAGCCTGCGAGGGCTTGCTGTCCTTACAGGCACTTTTCTCTGCGGCAGCTCGTCCAAGCCTGGTGTGTGACTGACTGGCCACCTCCTATGTGCCTAACCCAGTGCTAGGCCCAAGTCTGTCCCTAGGAGACTGTCGATCTGCAGGTGCCGGTTTGTTGTCCCCTCAGGACACCCTGTCTCGGGAGTCTGGTGCGCTACAGGACTCACCCTCCCCATATCCAGCAAAGAACATCAGTTAGGAGTGTGGGCTTCAGAGTCAGAATGACCAGTTTGAATCCAGACTTTGAGACTTACCAGCTCTGACTTGGGACACTTTTTTTTAAAGCTTCTTGAGCCTCAGTTTCCCCATCTGTACCATGGGGGAGGTAAGGATCCCCTCCTCACAGACCTGGGGTGAGGCACAAATGACATAATGCAGTTGGTTCCCACCTGGTGTGTTACTAAGTGCTTACCACGTGGTGGACCCCTCCTGCCTGTGGCCCCTCTGATGCTGACCGTTGTCTCAGGTGACAGGAACACCCTCGAAAGGGTTTGACGAGAAGGCGTACCTGTCCGCCAAGCAGCTGAAGGCCGGAGAGGACCCCTACAGGCAGCACGCCTTCAACCAGCTGGAGAGCGACAAGCTGAGCCCGGACCGGCCCATCCGCGACACCCGCCATTACAGGTATGGCCTCCTCTGTGCCGCTGAAGAAAGAAAGATTTGCCATTTTCTGGCCTCGGAAGCTCTTTCTCAGTCAGTCCTGGGGCCTTGTCCCCTCATGTCTGCTCGCACTGTGGACGAGGTTATGTCTGCGAAGCTCTACCTGGAGACCCTTCCCGGGCAGCCCTAGCCATGACCCGCCTGGTCCCCGGACCCAGAGGACCTGCTGACCCAAATCTGTGGGTTGAGGGCTTGGCCTGGATAATCTCTGAACCTTCTCAGGTGTTCCCTGAGAAACTTAAAGGGGGAAATGCCCTTGGGGCTATGTACATTTTAAAATGAGACTCTTGACGTCCAAGGCAGTGGTGGGTTGGTGAGGTGCCATATGCTGCTGCCAGGCCCTCTTAGAAGGCTGAGGTGGATAGGGCGTGTGCATGGGTGTGTGTGCACATGCATGTGTGTGTGTGCGTGCAAAGGGTATGCATGTGTATGTGCATACATGTGTGTGCACATGCACACATGTATGCATACATAGGCACATGCATGCACATGTGTGTGTGTGTGTGTGTGTGTGTGTGTAGGGGGCAAAGGTGGTGCTGGCTTTGGGGGGCAGGTCTCCTGTGGTGGAGCCAGTGTGCTGGTGTGAGCTCACTCTTCCCTGTGGCCCTCCAGGCTGCAGCTTCTTTTGGACTCCAAATTGTCAGGCTAGTTCCCGGTCCAGCAAGGCTGGGGGACAAGGACAGAGAACTGGAGCTCTGGACGTAGGCACTGGGGGCTGCCACCCAGGACGCATCTTCTTCTCCCAGCACACCCCGCTGCAGCCAGCCAAGCTCACCCCTGCCCCCAAATTCACAGGCCCTTGGAAAACATGGCTTCTCAGGGGGCAGGAGAAAATTTCCCTCCCCACTGCTATGCCACACCCCTGTCAAGGAGAATTATTGTAAAGCCTCTCAGGATTTGTCTCTTGGGGGTCCCAGGCTCGTGGGACTCCTGCCTGTCTGACCCGGTCTGCTCTGCAGGGCAGGAAATGGGCCTGGGAATTCGGGCTGTAGCTGCTGTCGGTGGAATGAATGCCATAATGAAAAAATAGTCACTGCCGGAACAGTCAGAGAGCAATTGTAATAAAGAGGATTGCTATGAGAACCAGCAGCGAGGCCGCCTTCCAGCCGCCCGGGAGCACGAATAAATGCGTTTGCAGAGAAAACAGGGCTGAAGCCTAGCGGGGCTGAAGCCTAGCAGGAATGGATTGTTTCAGCTTCCTTTTTAGAGGAGGGGGAGCCTGTGGGCCAAAAAATGTGTCTGTCGATGGCTGGGGCGGGAGCAGGACGGTGGGAAATGTCTTCAGTGTCTTCTCAGGGGCTTGTTTCACCCGGGGGACCCAGACCCCAAGAGGAGTGAGGCTGCTGTGCAAGCCGGTGGCTGCTCCCGCTGGGCAGTGACGGGGGCAGCTCCCCAGCAGGTGTGGGGGGTGGTTCTTCTCCAGATCCCCCTAAACTTCCTGAGCTGAGAGAAGGAAGACGCTCCAGGGTATCAGGAGACAAAAGAGATGTAGTTTTCCCCCTTGGCCTCCCTCTGCCCCCATTTTGTGCCTGTGGCCTGCCTCATCCGGCAGGGAGTTCTGTCCGTTGGGTCAGGGCTGCGTCCTGGGCCTGGTGCAGTGCCTGTATACAGTAGGGCGCCCTCTTAAACACGTCAGTGGATATGGGGCTCCGGGTGCTCTAGGTTTTGGGTAAAGAGCCCCCAGGCCCTGGAAGGCCTCCCCAACCCACTCCTTCCCTCTGAGTATCCCAGGCTGGGTGGCATCTGGGTGCTGGGCCAGTGTGGGCTGGAGCATGGGTGTGGAGGGGCTGGAGCCCGTGGCCTGGCTTGGGGCTTGCCTTCTCTGCTTCACGGAAGTATTCTGGGGGGCAGCAGACTGGACACAGAAAAGCCTCTAGCCTGCCCCAAGGAAGGCCGCTGACCTCCCTGCTCCCTTCTCAGTTGCCCATCCGTGTCCTACTCCTTGGACCTGCCGGCCACCAGTGTCATCATCACCTTCCACAACGAGGCCCGCTCTACCCTCCTGCGCACGGTGAAGAGGTAAGCCCGGCCGTGGCACCCTCATCGCAGTGGTGCTGCCCCCAAGGCTGCGGGTGATCTGCAGTGCCTCAGGCAGGGGAGGACTGAGATCGGGGGCTGTGGCCAGACAGCACGAGGACCAGCGGGCACAGGGAGGGAGGGTCCGTCCTCCCGAGAAGCTGCGACTGGTGAATCAGGGTCAGGAAGACCCCAGAAGTCCAACTGTCAGAGAAATGCACCAGTCTAACAGGAGGTCGGGGGCCGGGATGCAGGCAGAAATGCAGGCTCCGGGGCAGAGGGAGGCAGGGCTGGACGCTACCCTACCCCGGAGGGTAGATGGCAGCCTGGCTGGTGCCTGCTAGTGAGTCAGAGAGAGCTGCCCCTTCTGTTCTCCTCCTAAGCTTGGGCCTGTGGTCAAGTTTAACCCCCAATGCCCCATTTCCTCAATGAACTTAGACAAGAATGGGATTGGGAAAGGAGTGCCTAGTGGTATTCCAGGGAATAAAGAAGCTTGGATTTTCTTTCCCGGGGAGTAGAGAAAGAGGAGGGACAGTAGAAGGGAGGGAGCAGAGGAGGCTCCCTGAGAACACCCCACCTGCCCTATTAGGCTGGAAGGAGCCTCACCAGCCTTCCAGGCAGGCAGCTCAGGTCCAGCTGGGATTGTCCCTGGGCAGGGCTCGTTTAGGCTCAGGCAGCTTGAGCAGCTCAGCTCCACCTTGACAACTCAACTAGGGCAATGCTGCACTCAATCTGGGGTTGGTCCCAAGTGCCTAAGGGCCCAGGCAGCAGGGTCAGCCTGATCCTCCGAGGAGCATGCCGCTTCTCAGCCACCCATCAGAGCCCAGGAAGCAGTTGCCATGGCCAGTGTGCTGGCACCAGAACTGGGCCATAGGAGAGCCCCCAACAGCACAGGAAGGGTACATGGGAGGTGATCCCTAAATCCGGGCTCTTTCCATCCCCACTGCTGCTCCAGTGTCCTGAACCGAACTCCTGCCAACTTGATCCAGGAGATCATTTTAGTGGATGACTTCAGCTCAGATCGTAAGTGTTCGCCTTCTGTTTTGCACCCTCCGTACCCCCTCCATACCAGAATGCTGAGGCAAGCACTCTTGCAGTTGTCCTGGCCATTCCAGGCTGACCTCTCTGCTCCCCAGTGGGGTCCTTGGTCTTTTCTAGGACCCCTCCCTGGCCCTGCTCCTTGGTGCCAAAGGAGAAGAAAAAGGGGTGGTATTGCTTTGGATCGGACACCAGGGAGATGACATGAAAAAGAAAAACAACCAACCAGCATCAGCAGCGTCCTCGGTTATAACAACTGCCATACGCAGACAAGAGCTGGGCTGGTGATCATTGCTGGTGCGCTGTGGGGTGAGGCAATGCCACAGGTACAGGCATTCTCCAGTCTGGCCTGGGAGCAGGGCCATCCTTTGGCCAGTGATGATGACCGAGCCCCTCCATCCTCCCACCCCAGCCCTTTCCTGGGCCTAGTATGGGACAGCTCCTGGGCAGCCCCCTGGTCTGATGCCCTGTCGGAGTGAGCTTGCCTTCCTTCTCTACACCCTCAGCTGAAGACTGTCTGCTCCTGACCAGGATCCCCAAGGTCAAGTGCCTGCGCAACGACCGGCGGGAAGGTGAGTCCTGGGACCCTGGGTCCCCCTGAGGACCCATCTTGTAGTCCTCTGCACCCTCCCACTCCTTTTGGCAGCGTGGCACACCAGGCCAGCATGGCTCTGCTGCGTTCCTGATGGCTGGGGCCAGGGTCTGCCAAAGACCCTCCTTCTATCCCGGCTCGGCCCCTGTCACGGCACAACTGTAGGCAAGGTGCTCTACTTCTGGCTGCCTTGATTGTCTCTTCTGAGAAATGGGATAATGATAATACCCTTTCTGCCTTGCAAGGTTATTGTAAGGATTAAATGAGATGGGCTGTGTGGAAAGGCTGTGAGATAATCAAAGGGCAGTATAAAGCAGCTGTGACCTCACTGCCAATCAAGGGTGTTTGGGAGCACCAGCTACAGAATAGCATTGTGCATGTCACTCTAGGGCAGCGGCCCCCAACCTTTTTGGCACCAGGGACCAGTTTCATGGAAGACAATTTTTCCACAGACTGGGGGGTGGATTGGGGGGGCGGCGGAGCTCAGGAGGTGATGAGAGCAATGGGGAGCGGCTGTAAATACAGATGAAGCTTTGCTCAATCGCCCGCCACTCACCTCCTGCTGCGCAGCCCCGGTTCCTCAGTTTCATGGAAGACAATTTTTCCACGGACAGGCCAGGGGTGTGGGGGTGGGAGGGAGGTCAGAGCTCAGGTGGTGATCGCAGCCTGGTTCCTAACAGGCCATGGACTGGTACCAGACTGTGGCCAGGGGTCAGGGATGGCAGCTCTAGAGGACACAAAAGAAGTACAGTAAGTCCCTACTTATCATCATAAATAGATTCTTGGAAACTGCAACTTTAAGGGAAACAATGTATAACAAAACCAGTTTTACCGTAGGCTAATTGATATGAACCAAAGTTAAGGCGCGGTGGCTCACGCCTGTAATCCTAGCACTCTGGGAGGCTGAGACGGGAGGATCGCTTGAGGCCAGGAGTTAAAGACCAGCCTGAGCTAAGACCCCATCTCTACAAAAAATAGGAAAATTAGCTGGACATGGTGGCATGTGCCTGTAATTCCAGCTACTCAGGAGGCTGAGGCAGGAGGATCACTTGAGCCCAGGAGTTTGAGGTTGCTGTGAGCTATGATGACACTATTACACTCCACTGCACTCTAGCCAGGGCAACAGAGCGAGACTCCATCTCAAAAAAAGAAAAAAAAAAGAGTTAAGTTCCAATGGCATATTTCTAGTCACAAAAACACCACCAAAGTTCTAAAGATGAAAACACTTCTAATATTAAACATTGAAGTAAATGTGAGCTATACATACATTTAAGAAAGATTAATAAAAACAAACGAGATAGTTGTTTACCCAGTTACTCCAGGTGAGGGTCTCAGGTGGCCAGAGCCTCTCCTGGCAGCTCAGGGCGCACTCACGTACACCCCCCTGCACGGGGACAACTTAGACACACCAGGTCCCCGCAGGTGCACAGCTTTGGCATGTGGGCAGAGGCCTGAGAAAACCCATGCGGACGAGGGGAGAAGGCGCCAACTTCACATCGACAGTGGCCACGGCCGGGAATCATTTTTTTTTCTTGTCCATGGTATAACGAAACAACATTACTTGAGCACCTGCTGTGCACAACACGGTCCCTGCCCTCAGAGGGCTTATTACGTGGTCGAGGGTCAGAATCCCCCACAGCAGCAGCTGGTTATAGTTACGCGTGAGCGACGTGGGGATCGCAGAGCTGGGGCGAGCAGGGAGGGCTTCTGTGGAGGAGTGGGCCTCGACGGGGGTGCGGGTGTCGGGAGACAGGTGAAGGGGAGCACGAGAGGGCACACCAGCTTGGGGACTCTGCCAGCAAAGGCATCCGTCAGGGATGGGAACCTTCATACTAACAGCCCCTCCTGCTGAGGGCTCCTCCCTGCAGCACTCGCTTCGCCACACTCTCACATGCAGTCCTCGTAACTGCCCTCTGTCCCCGTTCTGCAGATGAGGAAACTGAGGGTTTAAGGAGGTTCAGTGATTTGTCCAGAGCAATGAATAGAGAAGCCAGGATTACATCCTGGGAACCCCACCCAAGGCCCAGCCTCTTACCCTCCCTCCCCTTATACGCCCTTCCTGTGAGAACCCAGCCCGGTCAGCAGGGGGGGTGGTGGCGTGAATGGAGAGGACAGAAGACCTTGGCAGCCAGGAGAAAGCTTTTAGACTTGATAAGGCAGATAGTGGGGAGCCATTGAAGGTTTTAGAGTGAGAGAGTGATGTGATAGATATATTTAAGAAAGACAAGTCAGGCCAGGGGCCAAGAGGGTATTGTTGAAGGAGACCTTCACGCTGGAATGGAAGTGACCAAAGAGAAATGGTTCCTAAGCCAGGGGTTGTAGGGACCGTCAGGCCTGGGAATATGCTGTCCTTGCATTTTGCCAACAATAAATGTAAATTTCTGGTTAGATGCTTTACAAATACCTGTGGAGTGGCAGGATGGGACCGATGGGCCTCAGGCTGGCTGGCCGGTTAGTGGATAGACAGGGGCAGAGTGCGAGGCAGAGGTGTGGCTAGGAAATCTCTCCAAGGAGCTGCTTGTCCTCAGAGCCCTGACAGGGAGGCCCTTCCTGCCCCACAGCACACAGGGCACAGAGAGCTGCTCCGGCAGGGGTGGGCCAGCAGGGCCTCCTGTCTCCTGACCGGGCAGGCCCCCAGCCCTGAGCAGAGAGCTGCCCAAAGCAAGGCCGTTCTCTGCCGGCCAGTGAGCAGTCGGGGACTGTCAGGAACCGGGGCAGAAGAGCAGAAGCTGACACCTGTGGGTCTCTGGGCACCAGGCCCTCTCCCTGTCGTCTCGTTTGATCCTGACAGGCAGGGACTATTATCTCTCTGGGTCTTGAGGCTCGGAGAGGTTACACAACGCGCTCAAGGTGAGCGAAGGGGCTGGCATGCAAACTCAAGCCTGTCTTAGTCCAGAAGATTCTCTCGATGCCACACATTGTGGTGGGGCTGCAGGGGACCACCCAGAGGTTCCCAGGGGAAGGTTTGTTTTCTGGTTCTCCTCAGTACCAAACCACACTTTATTGCACTTTCCACTCGCTAAGCCGTGACTGTTCACCGGTGTGTCCCCAGAGCCCAGGCACTGTCTGGCATATGGAGGGCACTCAGGGAATGGCCCTGGGGTAATGATGGTTGACGGATGGATGAGAAGAAGAAAGGGAGGGAGGGAGGAAACAAGCAGAAGTACAAAGTCAAGTCCAATCACAACAACTCAGAGGAAACCTGACGGGGCAGAGAGGCAGCCCTGGGACTTTGAGGGGATGGTTGGGAAGAAAACGGCTCGGTCCCGGCACCAACCCCTGTCTACTCTGTCGCAGGGCTGATCCGGTCCCGAGTTCGCGGGGCAGATGTGGCCGCAGCTGCCATCCTCACCTTCCTGGATAGCCACTGTGAAGTGAACACCGAGTGGCTGCAGCCCATGCTGCAGCGGGTGAAGGAGGTGAGCCGGGCTGTCCCTGGGGGCTGGGGGTCCCTTGGGACTCACCGCCATGTTCCTGGCATGCGGGCATATGGAACAGTCTTTCAAGTTGGGTGGGCATTGTAGGAAGCCTAAATGGTTTGCTTCCCCCCGAGTGACTTCACCTCATTGAGCTTTCACACCAGAAAATGGGGATAATTGTAATATTTGTCCCACTGGGTTGTTGTAAGAATTAAATGCAGTGAAAGTCTGGCGAGCTATAAAGCTCTTACTATGAATGGGTGCTGTTTTTCTCCTGGGGTGGGCAGGGGCCTGTGCTGGGAGCTTTTGGTCAGGCTGGGAGCCCTTGGGGGAGGGGGAGGATGGTGTTCTTAAAGAGAGGAGAGGGAGGAAGGCTCCTACCGCGTGCCTGCTATTCTCCAGAATGGGAAGGATTTGGGCAGATGGCAGAAAAGGATCAGATGATTACAACTCCACCATAAAAAGACAAATAACCCAGTTTAAAAATGGGCAAAGGATTTGAATAGACATTCTCTCAAGGAAGATCTACAATGGCCAGTAAGCCCATGAAAAGCTGCTCAACATCATTAGTCGTTAGGGAAATGCAACTCGAAACCACAATGAGATGCCGTTTCACACCCACTAGGATGGCTGTGAGCAAAAAGATGGACAACAACAAGTGCTGGCAAGGATGTGAACGAATAGGAGCCCTCGAATATTGCTGGAGGAATATAGTATAAAACAGCGCAGCTGCTTTGGAAAACGGTCTGGCAATTCTTCAGAAGTTTGGACATATGTTGCCATATGACCCCAGCAGGGTGTATACCCGAGAGAAATAAAAACATATGTCCACACAAAAACTTGTACACGAGTGTTCAGAGCAGCACAATTCAGAATAGCCAAAAGGGAGAAACGACCCAATGCTCATCAGCTGATGAATGGGTAAACAAATGTGGTCTATCCATACAACATACAACATACAACAGAACTGTCCAGTCTTAAAAAGAAACGAAGTCTGATACATGCTACAACATGGATGAACTTTCAAAAAACCTTACATGAAGTGAAAGGCAGTCACAAAAGGCCACACATTACGAGATTCCATTTATATGAAATATCCAGAATAAGCAAATCCACAGAAACAGGAAATGGATGAGAGTTTCTTCTTGGGGTGATGAAAATGTTCTGGAACTAGATAGTGGTGTGGTGATGGTTGTACAACCTTAAAACCACTGAATTGTACACTTTTAAATGGTGAATTTTATGGTATATGAATTATATCTCAGTACAAAAAAGCTTATAAAGAGAAAGAAGTGAGGCCCTCACGGAGCACTGAAAGACCGTGGGTGGTCTCCCCTGATCAGCCCAGGCTTCGTTATCCTGAGACGGTGGATGTGAACCGAGGGCACAGCTGGATTCCAAGTTGCAGACAAGAGGACCGTGGGGTGAACGCAGAGTGGAGGAAGAGGGGAGAGAAAGAAGAGGTCTGTTCCATGTCCCTCCATGGAGGGCAAGACAAGAGAGGGCTCAAGAAGGGTGATTAAGTTTTGCATGTGGTATATGACATAATCCACCTTGTCTCCCCTCCCACCCCCCAAAGTCTTCAGTAAAATCAGCATAATGCACTAATATTTTGGAGTTGGATCTGTGTTCTGGGAGATGATGAAGGGAGTGGCGAGTCTGAACTCAAGGCGGTTGTGGTATGAGAGGAGTGGCGGCCAGGGTACCCAGGGACCACAGGGTCCCTGCCCTCAAGCTGCCAGTGGTCCAGTTGGGAAGACTCAACTCAAACATACACAAAGGCAAATGACCTTAATCAAGCAACGGTTCAGACCAGCAACAGAACAGCCACCTCAGGAAGCACATGAGCCACTGTCCCGGGAATTGTCTAGACTGTGACTGTGGGAGCAGCTTAAAAGAGGAAGAAACCCTTCAGCTCACAGCAGTCAGGGAAGGCTTCACTGAGGAGGTGAGATTCCAGCAGAGCTCAAAATGAGGTGCAAGAAGAGGCTGGAAGAGCACATGGGAGCCAGGAGGGAACTTGCAGAAGCCTGGCTGTGGTGATGCAGGACAGCTCCCAGGGGCGGCCCTGGGCACATCATGCAGGAAGCCCTGAGTGTCCCATGTCCCAGAGAGGCCTGCTCCCCAGAGACGGCAGCTGGGCCCTTTTCCGCAGAGGAGTCCCTCGCCTCACTCGCATCTCTCCCCTAGGACCACACCCGCGTGGTGAGCCCCATCATTGACGTCATCAGCCTGGATAACTTTGCCTACCTCGCAGCATCTGCTGACCTTCGCGGAGGTGGGTCCTGCTCCCAGGGGAGGGGCTCTAGACCTGAAAGGAGGTAGGTGAGGGCAGGCAAAGCCCTGGCTTGGTGCTCTTCCCAGCTGTGCCAGAGGGTCTCATACCCCCCTGCCCCTGAAGAGAAAATGAGGAGGGATTTCGTGGAGCCCTGGGGTTGGGGACAAAGGGCCAGAGCTGGCAGTTGCAGGCTCCTGGCACAGTCAGTGGCAGAGCCAGGCTAGTCTCTCATCTTTCCCTCCCCCTAAACATTGACACATCCTTCCCGAATGCTGTGGCCCCAGTTCAGGGACCACAGCTACAAGTCCTGGCAGAAGGCCATGATGTAACAACAGCTGTCTTAAGAAGGGGGGATCCCTTGGCCTTGCGTGAATTCCCAGTGTGTACACCCCAGAGGTGGTTAAGACCTGTGCTGAGTGATACGGTGACAGTTAGCACATTTGGTTATTGAGCTCTTGAAATGTGGCTAGTCTGGAGAAGTGACTAGTTGGAATTGAGATGTGCTGTAAATATAAAAAACACAGCAGAGCCAGGCACATGGCTCACGCCTGTAATCCCAACACTTTTGGAGGCGGAGGCAGGAGGATTGCTTGAGGCTAGGAGTTCAAGACCAGGCTGGGCAACACAGTGAGATCCTGTCTCTACAAAAAATAATAAAAATTAGCCAGTCATGGTGGTACACACCTGTAGTCCCTGTTACTTAGAAGGTTGAAACGGGAGGATTGCTGGAGCCAAGAAGTTTGAGGCTACGGTGAGCTATGATTGCGCCACCCCACTCCAGCCTGGGTGACAGAGTGAGACCCTGTCTTTTTTTTTTTTTTTTTGAGACAGAGTCTCACTCTGTTGCCCGGGCTAGAGTGCTGTGGCTTCAGCCTAGCTCACAACAACCTCAAACTCCTGGGCTCAAGCGATCCTACTGCCTCAGCCTCCCGAGTAGCTGGGACTATAGGCACATGCCACCATGCCCGGCTAATTTTTTCTCTATATATATTTTTAGTTGTCCAGATAATTTCTTTCTATTTTTAGTAGAGACGGGGTCTCGCTCTTGCTCAGGCTGGTCTCGAACTCCCGACCTTGAGCGATCCACCCACCTCGGCCTCCCAGAGTGCTAGGATTACAGGTGTGAGCCACCGTGCCCGGCCCAAGAGACCCTATCTTTTAAACAAAAACAAAAACAAAACAGGGTTCCAGGACTTAGTGTGAAAAAATATAAAATATCTCATTAGTAATTTTATATTGATTACATGTTGAAATGATATATAATATTTTGGACATATTACCTTAAAAACATTTTATTCAAATTATTAATAATTTTATATGTTCTTTTTTCTGATGTGACTACTAGAACATTTTAAATTATGTATGTGGCTTACCTTTGTGGCTTGCATTATATTTCTTTTGGATACTGCTCTGGTCCAGACTCTAGTGCTGGGCTGTTCAATACAGTAGACAGTAGCCACATTTGGCTATTTAAATTTAAATTAATCAAAATTAAATAAAATTTAAAATTCAGTCTGTCACACTAGCCACATTTCAAGTACTCAATAGCCCCATGAGGTTAGTGGCTACCACACTGGACAATGCCGATATAGCACATTTCATCATTGCAGAGAGTTCCATTGGGCAGTGATGCTTTAGAGCAGCGGTCCCCAAACTATGGTGAGCTGCATCATTATTTCATTATATATTACAATGTAATAGAAATAAAGTGCACAATAAATGTAATGCACGTGATTCATCCTGAAACCGTCCCCCTTCTCCCTGGTGTGTGGAAAAATTGTCTTCTGTGAAAATGGTCTCTGGTGCCAAAAATGTTGGAGACCGCTTCTCTAGAAAATCTGTTGCTGAGAACTAGTATGATAGAGGATTTCCTGTTTGGGGGTCTGGACTCCCAATAAATGGATCCAGCCATTGATTAGACCTTGGGGTTCGTTGGAATTCAAAGGGAGCCAGGCATTTCCCCTTTGGGAAATCACCCCAGGGCCTTTGCACTTGCTGCTGCCCCTGCCTGGCATTCACTTCCCCTAGATATCTGCATGGATCCATCCTTCATTCATGTCTCTAATCAAATGTCACCTTATCAGAGAGCCTTTCCTGACTATTCTTGCTGAAATAGTATGGGCACTCCTCCTTTCTTTTCTTTTTTTAGCACTTTTCACCCCCAGCCAACATATTATCCATTATTTATTTATCATTGTCATCTGTCTTGGCCAGTAGATTTATAAACTTCATGAGGACAGAGTCTCATCTCATTCTGATGACAAGCTCAGGGCCTGTGTGAGCTGGGCGCTGATCAAGGGAGACCGAGGGGTGGTGGAATGAAGGGTCTGCCCTGAGCCCTGTCCTCACCCTGCTCTGTCCCGTAGGATTCGACTGGAGCCTGCATTTCAAGTGGGAGCAGATCCCCCTTGAGCAGAAGATGACGCGGACAGACCCCACCAGGCCCATAAGGTCAGGGCTGCTGTGGGCTCTGGGGAGACCCCTTCCTTGCCTGGGTCAGGGGCCTGGGAGGCTCTTGGGAGGCTGTGTCATTCACCAGGATGCCTGAGGGTACGCAGTTTAAGTGCTGACTCTGTTCTGGCCCTGGGACCCTGTCTGCCGGGACAGAGAGGACATAGGCTACAGGAACAGCTGTGGAGCGAGCTGGCCAGATATCCCACCCCTGTGTCTCTGCAAGCAGGGGATTTGGGGACAAGTGGCCTTGGGTCCTGGGGCATCTAAAGAGGCTCCTAGTTTCAGCAGCTCACGTGTCACCTCTTCCCTCTCCTTGTTCCAGGACACCTGTCATTGCTGGAGGAATCTTCGTGATTGACAAGTCCTGGTTTAACCACTTGGGAAAGTATGATGCCCAGATGGACATCTGGGGTGGAGAGAATTTTGGTGAGTCGGGAAAAAATAACAGTAGAAACAATAGCAATAATAACAACCCTGACTGAGCACTTTCTATGCATGAGGGCCTGTTCTAAGGACTTTACACGTGTTGAGTCATTAAATCCTAGCAAGGACCCTCTGCGGTGAGCCCTGTGATCTCCATTTTACTGATTTAAAAAAACTCCGAGGCACAGAGAGGTTAAGCAATTTGTCCAGAGCCACACAGTTAGTAAACAAAGAGGTTTGGGTGTTCCGGGGAGCCCGTGGCTGCGTAGCTAGACCTGACTGCGGAAGAACACACAGGCTGTAACATAGACCACAGCGCAAACCCGTGGCTGCTTCCCTCCCAGAGGTGCTGTGAGGTGTGCAGTAGCGGCTGGTGGACAAATGTAAGCAATGGGGTCCTGTGGCCTGTGTGCAAACCCTGAGCCAACCACGTTCAAGCTGTTTGGCCCTGGGCAAGTTCAAGCCTCCCAAAGCCTCGGCTTCATCACGAGGTTGCCATGAGCGCTAAATGAAATGCATGGTGCGTGGCCATAGGAGCCCTCTAGACTCAGAAAAGATGGCAAGCTGCCCCCCTGCCCTCCCTGAAGCAGCGGTGAAGGAGACAGAGTTGGGGCAAAATGTTTCAGTGTGGCGGGGGGGACCTCACGCACTGGCTTCTCGGCACTCGGGCGAGGGTCCCAGAGCACTGTGCGGTGGTCACCAGGTGGGGTCAGAGCCTGCCCTCCGGACTCCAGTAAGTGTGAGCTGGGAAGGCAGTCAGCTTTTGGAACTTCAGTTTCTTCATTTGCAAAATAGGAAGTGGAGGGCCCTGCGTCCCGGGTTGCTGGTGAGACTGAGGTTAGATAACGCGTGTATCGGCCAGGGTCCTGGCCGGGTGCAGGCGGGGCACCCACTGCGGTGTTTATTAAAGGGCCTGTTTACAGGGTGTGGGCAAGACGCAGGGAACCACAGCGACAGCGTGGTACTGAGCAGGGCTGCGACTGCTGGGAGCTGTAGCCGCCACGGCGCCCAGGTGGGGAGTGTCAGGGGGCTAAACACCCACCCTCACCCTGCGCCCCATCCTGCCCCCCACTGCTGGTGCCTCCTGCTGGCTGAACCTGTCAGCCTGAGGGAAGGGAGCCCAGCGGTGCAGCCCACGTGGGCGGCCTCCCAAACAGAGCGGGGTGGGGAAGGGTGAGAGCCATCCCGGGGGTCTCCAGGAGCCTGGGCGGGTACCTGGGCGTGTGAGACACAAAGGCCTGTTCTTGCGCTTGCTGTGGATCCAGCCCTTTACGGACCCTTTCCCACTGTTTCTTTTTCATCCCGACCAGGTTTCTTGCGCCATCAGTAAGGCAGGTGGTATCTCCCCCACTTGACAGGTGGGAAGACTGAGCTGGGTGCCTTCCGGAATTCAGTCAGGAAACTCCGCACCTAACAGGCGCCTGCAGCTCCTTCACCGGAGCCACTTATGTGTTGTGGATGTTGTCAGAGTCCGTACCTCTGGGGTGTCAGGAGAAGGGCTCCTCTTCCTCTTTCTCCCAGATCAGGAAAATAGACGAGCGGTGGGGGCTGGAAACAGGCCTGATCCGACTCAAAACCAGCTGGAGGGGGAACGGGATCCTCTCCCCTTTGTAACTTTCTCTTGGAAGCCGGTTCCAGGCAGGGTTTGGAGGAGTAAATTCTGGGAACTGGGGTGCAGTGACCCTTCTATTCTGACCCTCTTTCATGTGTGTTGGGCCTGAGCGACCTCCTTTGTGTCCTTGGTCTCGGCCTGAGGGAGCTTTGGCAGAGCTGGCTTCCTGCAAAGACTTGGAGAGCTGGGAAAGCAACTGTCTCCTGCATCCAGAGCCTTTGCTTTTTCTTTTTTAGGCTAGGGACTAACAGAGAAACGAGTGAGTGATCAAACAGCTGATTTCAAACTCTGCCTGAGGCAAAGGCTCAGGGGTTGGGGAACTTGAAAGGTTAACTGCAGAGCGGTTCTGGCGAGGGTTTTGTTTCTTAGAAGAAATCCAAAGAAACGTCTAGGCTAGCTGCAGCGCTCAGACGTTCAGCTGCTGGAACCAGTTTTGAGCCGTGAGACTCCTGTTGCTGGTGGGTTCGAGCCTTTCATTTTATTCCTTTGTTGAAGGGAGGGAGATGCCCAAACTGAGACGAGTGCCTGTGTCCCCCAAGAGATCCAAACTCAGGACCCAAGAAGACACCTTGAATGGGGCTGGCAAACATGAAAACTGTGGGGTTCACATTAGGGATCCTTTTAAAACAGAGATCATGTGTTTAAGCTCTTCTGCCTAAAACCCTGCAAGGGTTCCCATGTCACTCAGAGCGAAACCCAAACCCTCACACTGGCTACCAGGTCCTACGCTATCTGCCCTTGCCCCCAGCCACAGCCCCTTCCCCCATCCTCCCTCACTGCACTCCGGCTGCACAGCCTCCTTGAACCTGCAGCCAGCTCTTAGCCCCAGGTCTGCGCCCTTGCTGGTCCCTCTGCCTGGAATGCTCTTCCCTGGCAGCCGCGTGACTCCCTCCCTCACCTGTTTCAGGTCTTAACTCAAAGGTACCCAGTGAGAACTTTCCTGATCAGCCTAATTAAAAATGTAGCCCCACCCCCAACTCCATGAGCCCTGTTCTGCTCCCTGCTTAATTTTTCTCCATTGCACTTATCACCATCTGATATGCTACATATTTTACTCATTTTCGTGTAATCTTGTATTTTTTGCTTTTTAGTTTCCTGAGTTCCTGTCTCCCCCACTAGAGCATAAGGGAATCTAGAACAGTGTATGACATATAATAGGTGCTCAGTAAAAATATGCTGAATGAACCAAAGAATCTGATTCAAACAGTGTAGGTGGACAAAATGTGAACTTTTATGTTGTGATTCTGCAACTGAGTATTTGGGTGACCCTGGAGAGGTTATTTAACATCTTTGAGCTTCACAGTCCTTATTAAAAAGCATAAGGGTAATAATACTGACTTCACGTGGTTGCAGGGAGAATTAGATGTTGGATATAAAGAGTGTGGCACATAGTAAGTGCTCAGTAAATGGATGATGGTTACTACTGTCATTATTGCCTTTCTTGATAATAATAACAATAGCTAATAATAGTATGGATAATGTGGGCTGAGTGAGATGAAGTGACTTAATTAGCATAACAAAGTTGGTCTGGTAGAAATGGAACCAAAATGTAGATCTTCTGTCCCCCAGGCCTGTCCCCAGTTCTAAACCTCAGTTGCTGCAGAGCTCTGGCCAGAAGGGACGGATGCCTGGCAGTCTATGGGCAGACCTAGGGAAGCCCATTAATGTAGCCAACGCTGTGTGTGGCTGCAGGTATGCCAGGCATCCAGTCCTGGCCCTGAGTGCACACAGGCCAGCCAGAGGTGGGCGTCGCTGGGAGGGCTCTGACCCGCTGTGCCCAGTGAGAGCTCCACGCCTGGCTAGAGACCACAAGTGTCCGTAGGGCCAATTGTGGAGCCAAAACTCTTGAGAAAATGGTCTTTTGTTTTAGTTTGAAAAAAACAGGTGTTACGGATTTTCTGGGACAGGAAGGTGTTTTAATGTCACAGAGTCTCCAACTATAGGGTGTATATGAAAGAAAGTAGGAAATCAGAAGAGATTATGTGAGATTTAGCCAGCTGCCAAGGTGGGTCCTTACCATAAATGGCGACTGGAGAGTGGAGAACTGAGTGGTAACCTGTGATGTCCCCTTCTGGGAGGCAGGATGGCCACTTCGTGCATCTCCTGACACTGCTGGGGACCATAGTCGTCTGCAAAAGCTGGCTCAGCTCCACCAACACCATGGAAGGAAAGGGCCAGTGACAGCTATGCATGGAGACCAACTGGGCCAAGAGGGAGGTCGGGGCCAGCCACAAAGATGCCAGCTGGAGCAGCCTGTGGTTTGGTTGGCGGCTGTTTTTCTAACCTCACAAATGCCCAGAGCTGGCTGATGAGCAGATATGTTCTTCCTTAGCTCATGTCTGGCCGAGGCTTTCTAGACAGAGGCTGGAAATGCTGCTGTTGGTTCAGTTTTCCTTCTCCTTATGTTCTTGGTGTTCTTTCAAAGGTTTTTCCACTGCTCTCCCAGGCCTCAGCCACAGGAAGGTGTGTGTGTCTGCGCATGCGTATGCAAGCACATGCACATACACGCGTGGGGTGCGCAGTCAGGAACATGTGCAAGGAGTAGGAGCACCCCATTTGAACAGGCCCAGGAGCTCCGCCCCCAGCACGTGCCTCCAGCAGGACACCAAAGAGAAGGGAAGCCAGCCCCTTCCCACTCTCGCTCAGTGGGACTGGCCAAGGGCCCCCTTCCTGCTCCTGATGGCTGCCATCTCCTGCAGAGCTCTCCTTCAGGGTGTGGATGTGTGGTGGCAGTTTGGAGATCGTCCCCTGCAGCCGGGTGGGCCACGTCTTCAGGAAGCGGCACCCCTACAACTTTCCCGAGGGCAACGCCCTCACCTACATCAGGTAGGTCACGGTGACTGGAAGCAGGACACCAAGGCTCTAGACCCCATCCCTGCCAGTTACGCACCATGTGACTTTGGGTGGCCACCCCATTTCTTGGGCCTCAATTCCCCCATATGCCCCCTCCCAGGTCTTACATTCTGGGATTCCAGGTATTTTCAGGAATGGAAAGATGAAGTTGGGGGGATTGCCACCAGGTCTCTCTTGCTTTGACTCCCTTTGTCCTTGAAGGTGTTGGAAAATTGGCCAAATGACCAACCAAGTGCTGCCCTTCCCTCACTGAGCCCAAGTGTTGGCCACGGGTGCCAGTGTCCCGACCCTGACTTGGTCAAGCACCTGTCCATCCATGTCTCCAGCTACAGGGTGCACTTGGCCTCAGCCAGCCATGACCCGCTCTCCTGGTGGGGGTGAGGGGGTGTCGTGAGCATCCCCTCCTCCCAGAATGGCTCTTCACCTGGCCAGGTCCATGCTTATTTGTGCGATCTAGCTAACAGAATGGCCTAGAGTTTTGTTATGCTTCCTCCCACCCATTTTTATTGTTTTTTAATTATAAAAGTCATATATGTTCACTGTAAAAATTCAAGCAGTACCAATATAAATTATATATTATATATACACATTAATATTATATATTTACTCTTTACTTTTTTTTTTGAGACAGAGTCTCACTCTGTTGTCCAGGCTGGAGTGCAGTGGTGTGGTTATAGCTCACTGTAGCCTCTGACTCCTAGGCTCGAGCAATCCTCCTGCCTCAGCCTCCCAAGCAGCTGCGACTACAGGCGCACAGCACTACGCCTGGCTAATTTTTTTATTTTTTGTAGAGATGGGGTCTTGCTATGTTGCCAAGGCCGGTCTCAAACTCCTGGGCTCAAGCAATTCTCCCTCCTTGGCCTCCCAAGTGCTGGGATTACAGGCGTGAGCCATTGCACCCAGCTTCTTAAATTATTATACAGAAAAAAAGTGAAAGTCCTTTTCCCCCATTCTTACTTCTGTGTATCCCATTTGTCTCTCAGAAGTAACTCCGGTTAATAGATTGCCGTTTTATCAATTCAGGTGCATTTTATCAATTCAGATGCATTTTCATATATAAAGTTTATGTATAGAGAAAGACACGCACACCATGGGTTTGTGTTTGTGCTTGTATATAAATGTGTGTTTTTCGGCAGCATGCTTTTCTGTCACTGAACACTAAATTGTAGACACCCTTCAGTGGTCAATACATATGAACCGTGGCATTCTTTTTCAAGGCACCTAGTGCTCCATGATGTGGGAGTAGGTAATTATTCTCCCATTGATGGGCATTTAGGTTGTCGCCAATGGTTTGTTAGACAAGTATTCTTGTAATGTCTTTTTTGCCCACATGCAGGTATTTCAGTGGAATAGATTCCTGAAATGGGAAAGTCATAGAGTATACCGTGCATGTCCACAAAGTCGATGGATAGTGACAGACTGTCCTCCAAAGAGACTATGCTCATTTATGCACCCCAGTCAGTGCTGCCTTGCTGCTGAGAGTCTCATCGCCCTGCCCGCTCAGAACCCATCCCGATCCTGACCGTGTTGCCTCTCTGGTGACCTTACTTAGCTCTTTCCTCTCCTTCTAGGAATACCAAGCGCACTGCAGAGGTGTGGATGGACGAATACAAGCAATACTACTATGAGGCCCGGCCCTCGGCCATCGGGAAGGCCTTTGGCAGGTGGGCCCCCAGCCCCACTGTCTGCCTCCCCCCACCCACATTAGCACAGCACAACCCCAGCAGAATGTAAAGTGGAACGTACACCAGGGCACTGCTCACAGCCTCCTCAGTCACCCAGCTCCCCCGCTAATGGGCCCCTCTGGGCCCCGTGAGGGAATGCAGTGCAAAGACAAGCCGCTGGCCCGTGCGGTGCACACAGGTCAGAGGGAGATATGGCGAGAGAAGGCTCGCTTGTGAAAAAGAGTCGTCCCCCCAAGCTGCCTGCAGGAAAGGGGACATCTGTGGTCATGCTTAAGAAAGGACTGTCCGCAGAAAACATTTGGGGGTTTGTCTCCACCCCGTGTTCAAAAATCGCGATCTGTTAGCCTGTTTTCCTGTGATGGGCTGTTCCGACTATAGTCTAGTTAAGCATTTTCAAAATGCAGATGGGTTGTGAAGTCAATTTAGTGGGTCGTGACTGGCATTAAAAAAGAGAGAGAGAAATAGAACACTATAGATTAGATTAGTACAGAACAGAATAGAAAATAAGAGTTGATTGCAGTTAAGGGTTAGCATTGTTTTATGAAACTCCTATTTCAGTTGTATGTTTGTGTCATGCAGCTACCTATATATGTACAGTCATCCCTTGATGTCTACAGGGGATTGGTTCTAGGACCACAGGTACCCGGTGGGTACCAAAGCCATGGATGCTCAAATCCCTGATACAAAATGATGTAGGATTTGCATATAACCTACACACATCTTCCCGTATACTTTAGATTGTCTCTAGATTACTTGTAATACTTAATACAATGCCTACAAATTACTTCATTCGAGTAGATTCAATACAGTACTCAGTGCATGGCAAATTCAAGTTTTGCTTTTTAGAACTTTGTGAAAAATTTTTTTCTGAATATTTTTGATCCGCGATTGATTGAATCCACAGATGCAAAACCCATGGATATGGAAGGCTGACTGTATATGGGGTGTATTAGATCATAATGTAAGACAGATTTATCTCCTACCTACATTCGTGGTCAGAAAAATTTGAAAACATTATTAGTGATCATCAGTGAATCTTCTTCACTGTATTTATTTATATCTATCCCCTTTTTCAAAAAATAGTTACGTCACTAGATATTTCTTTAAACGGGGAACAAACATTTACTTAGCACCTGCCCTGTCCTAAGTACTTTGTGTCTCCTTAATTCAGTTGCTTCTGACAAAAACCTTCCCAGGTGAGTGGTCGTGTCCCCAGCTCACTGTACAAGAACCTGAGGCTTGGACAGGTGGGGACGAGGGTTAAATGCCCACAGGCTTTATGGCTGGTGTAGTTGAGGAAGGAACATCACGTGGTCCTTATTTGCCAAAACTCCGGAAAGATGTTTCCAGCTTGCTCTTCTCATTGTTGGACTTTCTTCTCAAGTGGAATGCAGGAAAGGAAAACTTCTAGTTAACTAAGGCTCTGCTCTCTGCAAAAGTAAGGACGAGTTTATGGTAACGAGGTCCTAAGGAGTGAGAAGCAGAGAGAAAAACACTGTCCCCTTTGGGCTGGGCTAATCCTGAAAGCCGAGCGCTGAGCAGGAATCCGGGGAGAGGAATGAGAAGGACCCAGGAGACCTGCGTTGAGCTTGCAGGTCAGAGACTGACATATGGCAGTGGCCAAGGCTGGCGGGCAGGCTCGAGCGGCTCCTGGTTCCTGCCCACCTGAGGAGGGGAGGAGGGCGCTGACTCCTGGGGCTGAGGCCGGGGCCTCTGCCGTCCTCCCCACACCGGCAGGCCAAAGCCCAGCCTTGCCTCCTCCTGCAGTGTGGCCACGAGGATCGAGCAGAGGAAGAAGATGAACTGCAAGTCCTTCCGCTGGTACCTGGAGAACGTCTACCCAGAGCTCATGTGAGTGCTGCCCTCACCTTGTGCATGCATCACACCTGGTGGGGGCTGGCAGCTTGGGCCCCGCACCCCCACCCACCTTGGGCCCCTCACCCCTGATAGTCTGGCTCTTTCTAGCTGCCAGGATTTATGTCCATGTGAAGGTTCTGGGGGAACTGAGAGGGCATTACCAGGATTTATAAATTAGGCACAGTAGGAACCGAGTTTTTAACAGGCTGGGTCTTAGACCTAGAAATGAACGTTACCCCCTTAGGAAAACAGCACTGCATTATGCAGCAAAGACTGCGGAAACATTCATCCCCTTTGACCCTGTTCTCTCCCTTCTGGGAGTTTATCCTAAGAAAATAAAGCAACCAAAGCAAAAAGCCGTTGACCAGTAGATACTGCAGGCTTATCTGCTGCCGTGAAAAAATGAGAAACAACTAACGATAGGGGCTGGGTTCAGTGAATCATCATGCATCAATTTAAACAAATATGCATCCATTAATATAATAGTAAAGACTGCGAAAAAACTTGGGGAAACGTTTGCTGTAGCAAATGAGGAAGCAAAATGCCAACGGTGTGTACACTAGCGTTCCAGTCGTGGGTGAACGTGGTGTGTTCCAAACAGGACTGTAATAAGCTCTGATACGCCCCTTTCAGTGTCTTGGTGACATCCACATGTTTCATTTCTCATCTCCTTCCTGTTTTTACTCAAATGTCCCCCTCTCAGGGATACTCCCCTGAACACCCAGCACCACCTACCTCCCCAGCTTATATCTGGCCATTAATTTTGTTTTCATCTCCTTGAACTTGCCTGCAAGCTCCTTGAGGGTAGAGGCTTTTATCTGTTCACTGCTTTATCTCCTGCACCTACAACAGTGCCGGCCACAAAATGGGCACTCAATAAATATTTGTGACTAAATAGATTGTATGGTCAATATGCCTCAATGATGTCTAAAATTAGCATCCTCCCTCTCTAGCTGTCACCTTGGGGAACAAGTTTTCCGCTGCTGCCAGCTTTCTCCCAAGAATGCTGCCGTGGTTTTCCAGAACCCTCCACCCCTCCTCAGAGCCTGACTATCCTTGAAAGAGGCAAATCTTTGTCCTTTGAAGGCAGATTTGAGTTTTGGAAAACAGCCACAGTTAGGTTGTAGCCAGTGAATAAACTAGGTGATTAACCCAGATAATGTAATCCTAGGTCCCAAATATAGGATAACTCGAAAGTAGCAAGACTACTACTAAAGGAGCAGTTTCCAAGAAATTCCAGAACAATTTGAGCAATAGCAGCATCCTTGGAAGAAAGTTGACAGCCTGGATAATTCCAGCTCCCTGGTCAATATCTGTGAAAGGAAGAACATTAATTTATAAAAATATAATAAATGAACAGCTCCTGGAAGCGAACACTTTTAAGGAGACAGTGCTCACTCAGAGGCATCATTTCTGAGAGGCTGAGGAGAAAAGAGCAGTCATTTCTATACATTCTGTCAGCATTCATACGGCATTTGGATGGAGCCCAGAGACTCCAGGCTTAGGGACAGCTGCTCCAGGGCTGCCACCACAGGGACAGAGCTCAGAGTTTTGTCCGTAAGCATCAGTGAGCAGGCCTTCAGTGCCAGAGGCCGTTGTCACATGTGGACAGTGCCACCTCACCTCTGCAAGCTGATCAGCTTGCATACCTCCCTAAACAACAGGGGGTGGGGAGAAGAAGAGAGTAGGAGGGTCTGGAACTAGCCCTGGGCCCGTTGCTGCATCCCCCTGAGCGCAGTTCCCAAAGAGGCCTCAGCAGGCTTCTGGTCTCTGTAGGGAGAGAACGTGTAACACATCGCTCCTGGGTGAGGCAGAGAGGGTGGAGCTACTGCCCTCCAACACCCTTGTCCCTAGCCAGGCTGCAAACTCAAATCCTTACTGTGGTCAGACAGTGATGTAAATAAGTCCAGTGGGTGGGGATGAGACAACAGGGAGTTGTGGGGACTGTGGCAAACTAGGATGCAAAAGCCCCACCCAGAGGGGGCAGCTGCTACCCACCATGGTGGATTAGTGTGCATGCTGGAATGCAAGCCCAGTGTGATCTGATCTTGCTATTTTTTCAAAAGAAGCTGGATTGAAATTTTTCTGTGTAACCTTCAAAATTTTTAATATTGTCAAATAATTAAAAGCAACAACAGGCTAGGTGCAGTGGCTTGCACCTATAATTCCAGCACTTTTGGAGGCTGAGGCAGGAGAATCACTTGAGTCCGGAAGTTTGAAACCAGCCTGGGCAACACAGCAAGACTCCATCTCTACGAAAAATAGAAAAATTAGCTGGGCATGGTGGCGCATGCCTGTAGTCCCAGCTACTCTGGAGGCCGAGGCAGGAGGATTGCTTGAACCAAGGAGGTTGAGGTTGCAGTGAGCTATGATGGCGCCACTGCACTCTAGTCAGAATGACAAAACGAGACCCTGTCTCTTAAAAAAAAAAGTGTTCTGGGGCCAGATTCAGCTGGAAGCCAGTGTGATCTGAAGGAGGTGCATGCTGCTGTCAGGGGTGTGGGAGAGAAAGTCAAAGTGGCTCCCCCAGGCTTATGAGAAAGATCAATTCCAGAACTCCATGGTTTCCAGCCAGCCCTGAGGAAGAAAGCCTTGATGTGGTCTAGATCCTGCAGATGTCCCCATCAAAGAATATTCTGATGGCCCCCCAGGCCCAGGTTCTCTCCCCAGCAGAGGTTATGGGAGGCAGATAAGATAAGGCACGTAGTTAGGCCCTAAGCCCTACTGGTTCTCATCACCCCCCTGGTGGATCCATAATCCAAGAACGTACATGACCTTCTAACCCAGGTAGTCAAGTCTGTATCAGCTGGGCCGGCAGCGTCCTTAGGGTTATTACCCACAGGGTGTCAGTGTGTTTAAGCATATTTTCCTGTGCATATAAAGTGTTTTATTAATAATATAATATTTTGAAACTTGCCTGTTTTAGTTAACAGTATGCTGTGAACATTTTTTCATGTTACCAGATATTCTTTCACGAAGTCATTTTTAATGGCCTTAGAGTTTTTCATCCATCCTATGGATGAAATCAGAATTCATTTAGCCTACGCAGTATTGTTGTATTGTTGGATAACCAGGAATTTCCAGTGTTTTCAGTTAATCCACCACTCTGAGATGAATATCTTTTAACACATCTATAATTATTTTTGTAAGATAAATTCCTAGAAGTGCATTACTAGGTGAAAGGCCTGCACATTTTTAAGGGCTTTGATACATGATACCGCACTGCCCTCTGGAAAAGTTGGGCTCATTTATGCTCTCACCAGTAGGGTATGAGAAGATTTAATCCCACAGCTATTGCCAACACTGGGCATTGTCATTAAAAAAAACATACGTATGTATGAGGGTGTGTATACAGATACGGTAAGCAAACAGTGGTGGCTGATATGCAGCTCTTTAATCATTAGTGAGATTAAACACATTTTTGCATTTGTATATTTTAAACTTGCCTCTTCAAAACCACCCCTTCCCTGTCATTTTGAGATTGGTTAGTGAGCCCACGTTTAGGACTCAGTCTCTCCCCAGGCTCTCCTCTTTCTGGACTGTTTCTGGCCTGAGCTCTCTCCCCTAGGGTTCTCCATGTCTTGGGCTTGGCCTCCAGGGCGGTCCCTGAGGCTCCCGCAGCTGCTTGGAAGGGCGCCTGGAGTCCAGGCCCAGCCTTCCCAGAGGCCGCTCCCCCTGCTGGCCAGGCCTGCCCTGCGCCCTTCCCACGGAGACCTTGGTGCTCCTGGAGCTGCTGGGTGCTGCTCTCAGGCAGAGGGTGTGGGTAAGCCTGGGGAGGGCAGAGGACACGCCTGACCACTGTCTTCTCTCGCAGGGTCCCTGTGAAGGAAGTGCTCCCTGGCATCATTAAGCAGGGGGCCAATTGCTTAGAATCCCAGGGCCAGAACACAGCTGGTGACTTCCTGCTTGGAATGGGGATCTGCAGAGGGTCTGCCAAGAACCCCCAGCCGGCCCAGGTAAGCTGCCGAGGGGTTTGGGTCAGGACTGGGAGAAGAAGAGAGCTGGGGGCACTGTCTGGGCGTGGGGGAGGGCTTTCCTCTACTCACTCTCGTCCTTCTCTGTCTACACCCGCCACAAACCCACTTTCCCAGGGCCCCTTGCACTCTGCTCCTGCCACATTCTTATGTCCTTTCCAGCCTGTCGCACAGGACCCTTCTGTGCACCACCTGCTTTCTCCTTGCAGAGGGAGAAATGCTGCCCACAGAGCACCCAGTTCTCTCCTGAGATACAGCTGCAGTCAGCTTGTATGATGGGCAGCAGGACATCCAGGACTCCTGTGTGCACACAGGTGCAACATATGAGTGCTACACCCACGCCCAGACTAGAGAGGTCACGGAGACTCCAGCCTGGACCAGCTCCCGGGCAGCCCAGGTCCATGTCCTGTTGTTCTCCCCCCTCCCCTAGCGTCCCCTAGTGCATCCTTGATTGCCCTCTGGCCAGCTCCAGCTAAGCGCCCCCACCCGAATATTTTATGATGAAAAATGTCAAACATATAGAAAAATTAAAAGAGTTGTATAGGGAATACCCATACATCTACCCTAGCTTGCTACAATTATTTGTAGAAAATTCTACAAACATATACAGTATATTTGCTTTATCACCCATCTGCCTGTCTACCCATTCATCACTGTCCTTTTTGACCTGGTCTTTCTGGTCCCCGTCCGGCAGGCATGGCTCTTCAGTGACCATCTCATCCAGCAGCAGGGGAAGTGCCTGGCTGCCACCTCCACCTTAATGTCTTCCCCTGGGTCCCCAGTCATACTGCAGATGTGCAACCCGAGAGAAGGCAAGCAGGTAAGCCTCCTCACACCTGGGCTCAGGTGGCCTGTATCCCAGGGAACATGCAGTGGGGGTGGCAAACCTTGGCAGGAGAACCCCAGGTTGAGACATATCGACTCAAATAAGCCCTCCAGAGTGAGGCTCTATGGGGGCCCAAGTCAACATGTAGGTCAAGCCTGTTGTTTTACGCAGGAGGAAATACTTCTTCAGGTAAGTATTTGTTTAATGTCCTGCCAGGCTGTGAGCTCCATGAAGGCAGGGACTGTTTGTCTTGTTAGTGCTGTATCCCTAGCCCCTGACAACCACCACAGCGAAAGCACTGACCTGGGAGCTCCTTCCTGACTCTGTGATGGGAGAACTTGGGTCGCCTCCACTGCTCCACCCTTCATCCCTGCAAAGTTGGTGGCCAGTTGCCACTAGAGAGCGTAGGTAACCTGTCTCACAGGTCAGAAGCTTAGGGCTGCAGGAAGAAGAAAGCTTGTTTGCAGAAGTAAAAGATTCACCTAGGCCAGGACTCACAAACCCAAGGGCCTGCAGGAAGCTGGTGGGGAAACCCCTGTAGGAGAAAAGTCAGGACAGACAGGAACCATGTCGAACTGGAGAGCAAGAGCCCCATCTTGAGCAGAGAGCAAATCCTCAGCCCCAGCCAGCTGAGGCCACATAAGGAACTGGGCCCAGCATCTAAATAGGAGCTGGAAATGCACATTTGTATGTGGTAACTAAGCCAAATTTTATTTATTTATTTATTTATTTATATTTTTTAGAGACAGGGTCTTGCTCTGTTACCCAGGCTAGAGTGCAGGGCAGATCATAGGTCACTGTAGCCTCAAACTCCTGGGCTCAAGCGATCCTCCCTCTTCCCAAGTGGCTGGGACTATAGGTGCATGACAGCTAATTATTTTTAAAAATTTTTTAGAGACCGGGTCTTGCTATGTTGCCCAGGCTGGTTGGTCTTGAACTTCTGGCCTCAGGCAATCCTCCACCTTAGTCCCCCAAAGTGCTGGGATTACAGGCATGAGCCACCATGCCTGGCCTCACATTTTAAATAAACACTGTGGGCCTCTGCTTTGCCTCCTCTATTCTAGACAGTAACATCCTGCCAAATGCAGAAGCAGGAGTCCCATGGAGAGGGCAGGGCTTAAAGCTTATGGGGCTGGGGGCAGCCTCTTATATAAGGGACACACAGCCTGGCTGAAGTGAGGGGATGTGTCCTAGGCATATACAGGGCTGGGTACATACATGTGAAATAAAGTGCATTATTTTTAGTCATTATTTTCTCATCTCCCTCCTTCCCCGTCTCCCTTCCTCCTAGAAATGGAGGAGAAAAGGATCTTTCATCCAGCATTCAGTCAGCGGCCTCTGCCTGGAGACGAAGCCTGCCCAGCTGGTGACCAGCAAGTGTCAGGCTGACGCCCAGGCCCAGCAGTGGCAGCTGCTGCCGCACACATGACGGTAGCCCTGGGGCCTCCTGTACCATTTGCATGAGACTTTGGGACCGGAAGTGGGTGAGGGTGGGGGAGAGCAAAGCAGGCCGTTTCCATCTCCTCACATCTCTGCCGGCATCATCAGCAAACACCCACCACGACACACGTTGCTCCACAGCTTGTTCCGGGAGGGCGCGGGGGGTACGCCCAATGCCCTCTGTGCCATCCCAGGCTCCCACCGGGAGAGGAGACGGTCAGGGTGCCGGACTGTTGCTGGGCAGAGACTGGCAGGTGCCCCTGGCCCTTTGTCCTCTCCCTTGGCGCTTCCTGGTTCCCAGACCTCCCCTTGTTGCCTTGGGAGGGCACGGACAGAAGCCCACACAGGGGTCCAGCTGGGCCTGCCTGTGGGGACAGGCATGAGTGGAGAAAGTGGGCAATGTGGATGGAGAGGCCGAAGGCTGGGAACAGAGGGAAGGGGAGGAGAAGGGCAAGTAAAGACCAGGTAGGAAGTGAGAAGCTCAGCAGCCTGTCAGAGATGCCACGCCCAGGGAATGCTGGGTGGGGCGTGGGAGGGATGGGATTCCCGGGGGCAAAGGATGGGGACTTCGCAAATGAAGACATATGGAAGAGCACAAAGCACCAAAAGAACAGGTCTCTTTGCCAGAATGTAGTTCCTGCCATGGTTCACCAGCCTGAGACTGACACTGGGCCTCCCGTCCTGACTGTGGCTGCCGACATTGTCAGCAAGAGGCCGCAGAGGGATCTTTAGTGGAAGACTTAGGGCACAGTTTATTAAGCAGACTCCGTATCTATCCGGCCCTATGTCTGGCTGAGACATCTCTCTTGGGCCTTAATGATGAGCAGGTGCCCTGTCCCCCTCCCCCACATCTGGGCCCCCCGGGAGGATGGGCAGCCCCATCCTCCTTCGTGGTTTTCAACTCTTGCTTTCACAAAGATTCCTGCCTCTGTCAATCCAGCAACATGGGTCAGGGTGGCCGGGAACAATGGGACTTCATTTCTGGAGCATAAACTTCCCCTAAGTCATTAGGGGCTCAGCCATCCAGGCTAAACCTCATCCTTATTCCCCTCCCCGTGACAGGAGGGGTTTCCTCGAAGGGTCAGCTACTGCACGAGGCTGGGAGGCTGGCTGGTGGCTCCTGTTTGTGTAGAGAACCCCCAGTTCCTTCTCAGAGCCACTGGGAACTACCACATCTACCCCACGGCTACGTCTTGGAACCGCCTCTGCTGTTCCCATGCCCCTCTCCCCCATCCCGCTGGTTCAGGCAGTGTGATTTTGGGCAAATGACTGTTGGTACCAGGATCCCTGGGGGTCTTCCCCTTGAAGCAAACCAGCCTGGGGTGGACACATTTACCCTAGAAGCCCGTAGTCTTTCACAGACCATTGATCCACATACCCATAGGGAGCTTAGGGATTCCAGAGGGTGTAGGAATTTCCAGAAATTGTCCCCCAAATATTGCATGTGTGTGCATATATGCACTTTCCTAGGGAGAGGGTTCATGGGTTTCCCCAGCTTCTTAAAGAGGCCCCTGATCCCCAAAGGGTCTGAACCTCTGCTCTGGATTGGAGCCACTGTCCACCTGACCTGCCATCCCTCAGTCTCCCTCCCTGGTGTGCCCAAACTGCCATGGCCTGCTCCCTCAACGTGGCCTGTGGGTCAGGGGCCAAATGTCTGTGGTCTGCAGAACCTGCTCTGGAGGGTTCTCCAGCAGTTTCCTCTCACCTCCTGACTCTCACCAGCGTCCTCTCAGCAGCGCTCCTGTGCCCAGGCGTGCGCCCCTCTGGACTCACTGGTGCAGGTGGGGCCCTTTGCCCCACGGCCACACTGCTCCAGTCCTCTGTTGTGATGTTTCGTCCATGCCATCTGCGGGCCTCAGATCCCCTTCACCTGGGAGGCCTGCTGCAGCTTAGGACAGAACTGGGCCAACGGTGAAGGCGTCTCCCCAGAAGATGGACTGGAAGGCCTGGGCCATGCTTGGGCATGGACCTACCGGGATGGGGAACGTGGCCTGCTCTTGTTGAATGTAAGAAGACTGCTGCTCAGAGGGCCTTTGAGAGAGGGTCTCCCCGTCATTTCCTGTGGTCACACTATGCCAGGCCCTGCGCTGGTCAGCCGTCCTTTGTGGCAACTCAGCCCTATTCTGTTTTTGCTTTTCTTCTTCTTGACCAAAGCATGTGCCACTAGCTGTCCTTGAGGATCCTGTCCTTATGAAACACACACCTGGAATAAAACCACTTCTTACATGTTCCCGAGCACCAGCGCCTTCCTTCCCGACTCCAGGCCACGCCCTTCAGTGCCACCTTCCTGCCTCGCAGGGGAGGTCAAGGCCTCTGTCCTGTAAGAGTGAAACAGCACGCTCACGTCTGGCCCTCTCCTGCACCTGACAGCTTGCTCCTCAGCCTCCATGGGCTGCCCTGGGAGCTGGCTGCCCCGGGGGAGCCGGCCGGTGGCCCTGCTGCTGGGCCAGGCCTAGGACCAGAACCCAGGAACCAGCTCGGGCCAGGCTGAGCCGATGTTCCTGTTGCTTCATCACAGGGCCCCAGTTGGGGCTTGGAAATGGAAATCAAAGGGCTTCCCGGAATGGCTATGGCCTGCCACCATGCTTGCCTTTGGCCAGCCCTCTCTCCATCCCTGGGAGCCAGCCCTGTGCCCTCAGAGCTGCCCTTCCTCTCCTCTACCACACAAGGCAGCAGTGGGGAAAATTCAGGCAGGACACTTCCTCGGTGAAAACAGCAAAATAATTCCAAAAAGAGTCTTAGCAGACTAGCCTTGCTTGATTGGGTAACAGATGCTCCATCTAATGTTTCCATGGAAACCAATGGAAAAACCCCATCATTTCTGTGATCAGAGACCCAGGTAAAAATAAACGCACATATGAACTGCCGTCAGCAGGCCAGTGCACCGCTAACTTCTCCTGGACACAGCCATTTCCACCCTCACCCCCGCCTCGTTCAGCCTGCCGATCTGGGATTCCCCAGAACTTCTGCCCCCCAGGCCTGAGGGGCCAGAGCCAAGCCCTAGCTGGCTGCAGAGCACACGATTTGGCCACAGCGTCGGGCTTGGTCTGGGCTTAGGAGGCAAGTCACTGCAGAGGACCCCGGCTGCAGTCTGTATCCCCTCATCTCTCCCCTCCCCGCTCCCCCGTCCTCCCAGGGAGCACAGCCCCCTGCCCACCACCTCCTCTGGCCCCTCCTGGCCAGGCTGGGCCCCCTTTCCACTTTCAATCTATTTTCACTCCCACCCTGAAGAGCTCTGCTGCTGGCATCTCCTGAGTCCAGCTCTCTTCTCTTGCTTGTTCTCTTCCAAACGCACCTCCCCCAGACCTATCTTCTCCCCCACCCCCTTTTTTCCTGGGAGCTGGGGCTGTCAGCCTTTAGCCAGCCCTTGGAGGACTCAGCAAAGGCCCACGGGCAGGCCACTGACAGCAGGCCTCACATAACCGGCAGCAGAGTCTGCCCAGAGCGCAGGGGTGGGGCAGGACGCGTCTGCACTGGGCCAGCCTCCCGCTTCTCCAGCAGGGAGCAGTTCTGGATCCCTGGGCCTCTGCGACTTGGCTCTTCCCCCGGCCCCTCAGGAGGGCTCTCCCCACTTGCAGTTGGGAAAAATAACCTGGACATCATCGTCCTCCGAGGGCTCTGGCACCGGAGGCCTGTGGGGAATTTTTTCCAGCACCAGATGGGGCGCAGTCCTCTCCCACCAGGGAACGAGAAAGGAAACCTGGAAAGGAGAGGCCTGAGTTCATAATGTCCACGATTCCATTCCCAACAATGTTCTCAATGTGTTTGGTATTTGTGTGTCCCCTGTGATGGTCTGAGTCAGTTTTCCTCCAGAAGGGAGGGGCACCCGGCAGCTTCTGTCATGGGAAGAGGTCTTTACTGCCAGGCACTTGGGAAAGGCCTGGAGGTGGAGAAGGGGAGAGGCTCGCTCTCTCCGCCTGGTAGCCGGGCTGAGTGGCTGAGCTGCACTGAGGCTCTAGAGCCCTCTGAGGACAGCCCTCTCCTGTTGGATTCAACCCCATGAGGCGGGGGAAGGGTGCGCTAGGGGTATGGACTCTAAAGACCCATCTCCACTCCACCATTTACTGGCCGTGTGATCATGAATCATCGTGAATGAGTTATTTCATCTCTCAGCCTCGGTCTCTTCCTGCGCGGATGGGCCACAGGTCCCGCAGCCCTGTCAGGCAGCTGCAGAGCCCCGGGTTCCTGGCCCAGGGATGACTCTGCTGTCCTGAGCCTTGGTCTCTGTGGGGGCAGAAGAGTGGGGGCTTGTTAAAATTAAATCAGGCCCCAGCAGGCAGCGGGGCCGAGGGTGGAGCAGCAGAGGGGCACTGGGGACTGTCTCCTGGCTGTGCTGCAGCCTTCGTTCTGCGGTTGTCAGGTGGGGGCTTGGGACTGACCTCTTTCATTCTGATGGATGCTGCGAAGCTCTGGAAGCAGTTAGAGCCCCTGGGGGCTGCCCTCATAGAACACGCAGGCTCTCGCCCCTGTGCATCATCACACTCACCATCAAGCCCTCAGTGGTGTGCTGGACACTCACTCACGAAGGACATGGAATGATCTTGGAGGAGTCCCGTGAACCACCAACGGTCAAAGCTGTCTAGCACCAGACACCAGCCAGCCAGGCCAACCTTCCACCCTCTCTTCCCCACCCTGCCATCCAGCCAGAATGACCTGGGTCCTGTTTTTTAAAGTTGCTTTCTGCTTTCTCTTGTTTGTGCTTTTGCTGTTCCTTCTGCCCCCACCTTGTTATCTCCGTGGGTTGAATGCTACTCGGTTTCCCAGCCAAACGCTGCTTCCGCAAGGGAACCCTTCCCGATCTCCCACCCGTCTGAGAAGACTCTCTCCAGCTTGCTTCCTCGGCATTCTGAGTGTTCCTCCCCAGCCTCAGCCATCACCCTCCTCCGAGCGCTGTGACGTGCACCTGTCCCCTCTAGTCTTGTCTTCTGTTAGACTGTGGCACCTCGCTAACAGGAACTGTGCCTACTCCAGCTTCACACCTCCCACAACCACAGCACAGAGCCTGCTTCTCAGACTCACGGTAAATGTTTGCTTGCTGAATGAATGAGTTAAAGCATCCTAGCTGGGTTCGTCTTCGTTTTGGTTTGTGTCTAATGATAAAGCATTCTTGCGTGTAGGAATTAGTACATTGCATACAAAAAGCACTGTGTGTATATTTGTTCATTTTCCCTCTCACTTCTTGGGATCTTTACAACTCCACCTTCATACTTATTAGCTGGTCTCTAAGTTCTCAACAGCAATGTGTTGGTAATGCTGAGGGCTGACACAGATTGAGCACTTTCTGGATACCCTGAATCTTGATAAAGGCTACCACGTACACCCTGATGGGGTCGGTCCTGGTATGCGCACTTTATGGGTGAGGAGTGGAGGCTCAGTCAGGAGAAACTTGCCCAAAGATAAATAGCTAGGTTTAAACTCAGTCCCCCAGGAGTATGTGTCGGTGGTTCTCAAATTGTGGTCCCACAAACCAGTGTCACAAACTCTTGGGGCCCACCCAGACCTACCGAATCAAAACCTCTGGGGGTGGGGTCAGCCATGGGGATTCTGATGCTTGCTCAAATGTGAGAGGCACTGTTCCGGTGACTGAGATGGGTTCTGATCCCCTGACTGTGGGCCATGGGTCACAACGGGGTATAGAAGGCTTAGAGAGCTGTGGGCTGCGGGCCTCGCCTCTGCTTAGCCAGCTGCCTGCTCTGGGCAGGCGGAGCTCTGGGCAGTGACAGATAACCCTCCGGGCGGAGGGTGGGTGTGTGCCAGGCTGGCCCGAGGGTTGCCGCTGAGCCAGCTGCCACATGCCAACCTTGCTTTGCATGATTTATGAATTTCTTTCCCAACACCAGCTACATATGGCTGACTTCATTCTAGAAGAGCTTCCACCCCAGAAGATCCATTAATCAAGGAATCAGTGCTGCCCCGCCCAGCCTGCAGGATGGGCGAACATTTTACCATGAGTTACATGGCAAAGTCTTTTCTATGGATCCTGCGTCCGATGACATTCACAGCCAGTCCTATCACTCCGACCAAACACTGACATCTGAACTTCTTTAATCCTCACAATAACTCTGTCAGGTAGGTATTTTCAGTATCACCCCACTTACAAACTGGGAAATTGAAGTTCAGAGAAGTTAACACACTTGCCCAAGATTACCCAACTAGCAGGATATAGAGCCAGCATTTAAAACCATGAAGTCTGATCCAGGGTCCGCGCTCTTTACTGCCTTTCGCATATTCGTTTGTATATTCGTACCAACTCTGGAACTTTTGCATTGTTATCCACAAGCTGCCCTTGAGGACACACAGGCCCCATGCAAAGCCCAACACTTGTCCCCCACATCCCACACCCTTGCATGGCTGATTCTTAGAACACTGAGAAGTAGAGAAGGCCAGGGTTGGTCCTACTATCATCATTTTACAGATGTAGAAACAGGCCAAGAGGCTGAAACTCCTAAAGTTACAGATCAGGAAACGGGGAGCACAGGACGCAGTGGATCCGAGAACACGATGTTCCATGGCACGGCGGACAGACTCCGCTGCCGATGGTCTGTCACGTGTCAGGCATCTCCTATGGGGCTTGGGAGGGCAAGACCTCCAAACGATCCAGCCCCAGAACCGGCGGCTGCTGAGCTGTGCGGCCTGCTTTCTCCTTGCACCCGGGCCAGGGCTGTTTTTCCCAAATGCCCTCCTGGCATTGAGGTTCTCTGTTCTGCATTACTTCTCCTCAGACATTAGTTTTGTGCTTGTTCAGATCTGCATGTGCCTACCTCATGGTCTTGTCCACCTGAGGTGGGGACTTGAGGGTGCTTCGTGGAGCCCCTGTGGGTTCACCCACAGTTTTCCCCGGGTGCCTGGATGTCTGCATGCTGATCAAGCAGTCAGGCGTATTTCAAATTTATTATAACCAAATGTGTCCAGCCCCGTTATTTCTTGACTGCTTTACCACATGACAGCAGGGGTGGAGAGGAGAGAGTTCCAGCCTTGCAGTGAGACAACAATCGTTCCCACTCTGGCTCAGCCACTTTTGAGCCAGGAGACCTTCAGCCGCCCACTTTCATGTCCTGAGCCTCGGTGTTCTCAGCTGAACAATGGTGTGATGTGGGGGCAGATCAAATGAGAAAAGGCCCGTGGTCCGGCCCTGTTAGGAAGTGGGCTGTGCATCACTGTCTGAGCTCCACCTCCCCCCGCCCCCCACCCCTGGTCCATGGAAAAATTGTCTTCCATGAAACTGGTCC